TCAGATAAAACTCAGAAAGAGAAGCCCCTACAAAAAGAAAACAATTGCAAAAAACTGACCCATTTATATTGGGGGCTTATTTTGCAAGTATTGAAAGAAATGCTCTAACCCCATGGTATCTGAAATTGCTTGATTCTGAAGCCACCTGTTTATCACCATTAACCAAAAGAGCCCCAAGAAAAATATAATATGCTAATACTGAAATTAGAAGTCTTGAAACAATCAGGTTGTGGATCAAAGACACAATCTATTGATGGATATAAAAAAAAATTTAAGAGAGGAAAAAATTGGAAAACATATTGGATTCTTTCATTATTGTAACCCAAAAATTATTTTTATAATTACATTTAAAGTTACTAACTTGGTTACAGAAAAACACATAAGCTAGAGTTTGCTAAAAGCACACAACATATCTTTAGTACTAGTAAGATATCACCTAAACACTAAATGCACAGATCTGATAGCTAGTTGCAGTTCTGCTACTATTAAATGACTTTGGAGATGTCACTGAATTCCTCTAGACCTGTTTCCTCAGTCATATAATAAAGGTCTAGACAATCTCTGGAACAGGGATTCTTAACCTTTTGGGGAAATGTTTTTAAAAGCACAAAATAAAATACATAGGATTACAAAGGAAAATAACTATATTGAATCACAATTCTCAAAACATTTTTTTAAAAAAAGGTCATAGACCCTGTGTTAAGAGCTGCTACTCTGAAGCTACTTGCTGTCCTAGAAGAGGCAAGATGCTATAGCTGAAGAACAGCTGGATTGAAGTCAAGAGAGCTGGGTTCAAATCCTGCCCCTGATATCTACTAGCTGTATGAATTGAGCAAATCACATCACATGGCCTCTTTCAGCCTCAGTTTTTTCATCTATAAGTTGGGCATATAATTCCTATACTATCTACCTCTCCATGTTATCAACAGGAAAGAGCTTGGTTAACTTTAAAGCATTGTAGAAACATGAGCTGGTATAATACAAGGGTGAATTTCATTATTATAGAATTTTAGTTATTACAATCTTGCTTTTCCTCCTGTGATTTTAAATATTTGGTACTATTGTGTAAACATAGGTTATACACATATGCTAAAAAAAATTACATGCCAAATATGCATACAATTATAGATCTATGGAGCCCTCTAAAGCAAAGGAGTATATGGAGACAAGACTGGTTTGTTTCCTTTTCAAAAATGAAATGTTTTGCATGATGTTTCCGAGTCATACATTTCTGGGGTGCTTCCAAGTTCATTCATGTACAAAAACAGCTGCAATTAAGCAGCAAGAACTGATTGGAGGCTTAGGTTTTGTTATTTATTTCTCAATAATGTACATTAATTTCTTCAAAAATAAATAAATAAAATCTACATTTCTTTCAGCACCTGAACACCAAGGGCATTTAATAATTGTTTATTATGTTGAATACCTAACAGATGTTAAATTATGAAATATGCAAAGAAGAAAAAACAATATGAATACTTTCTGGATAATTTTTTTTAAAAAAACATGAATTGTCTGAGCAGAATAGAAAGTTAAGAATCCCTGTATTTAGCCAGAGCTCTGCTCAGTATTTGGGGTGAGGAGGAGGTAGGTGGAGATATCTACTCTGTGTCAGTTTCTTAATCTACAAAAATTAAAAAACAATATGGACGAATTAATGATTAAAAACTGCTTTTAAATATGAAGCAAAATCAGATGGTAAGTAGACTTAAGAAGCATCAGTATACCCTTACTGCCTTTATGGTGAAATACAAACTCTTCTCTTGCGGTATTTAAAGTCCCTCATGATATGACCCTAGTCTCCCTTACACACTGATTTCAAACAATAACCCCTAGAAAATGCTGTGATCCAGCCAAACTGATCAGCTGGCTACATAGTGTATACCACATCCTAGCATGAAAAGTGGAAAGAGTCCTGGCTCTGGGGTCAATAGATTTGGACTCAAATCTTGTGTGTAATGCTTCCTTAATATCTGTGTGAGGTTGAGAGAGTCACCCAAACTCCCTAAGCCTCAGTTTCTACATCTGTAAAATCAGAGACAGTGGACTAGATGGCTTCTGAGATCCTTTCTAACTTTAGATCTATAATCCTGTGGTATGACCTCATAGTTGTATGCCTTTCTTTCAGTCATTTGCATAGTCATTCTCCATGCCAGGACTGTTCTTTCTTCTCACTTCTGTTTCTTGGTAATCTTTAGTTAAGTGGCACAGTGCATAGAGTACTAGGCTAGAAGTCAGGAAGAATCAATTTCATTTCCAACCTCAGACATTTTATTAGCTGGGTAACCCCAGGCAAGTCACTTAAATTCTGACTGCCTCAGTTTCCTCATTTGTAACCCTACTCCCCCACCCAAATTACTTTGAATTTGCTTTGTATATGTGTACGTTTTTATGTATTTAACTGTGTATATGTTATTCCCTGCTTGTCACAGAATGTAAGCTTGAGGGAAGGGATTGTTTTGTCTTTGCTTTCAAATCTCCAGTTCTAAGAATAGTGTCTGACACATAGTAGGTATCAAATGCTTGTTGGACTGAGTTGAATTGTTAGAATCAATATGGTTTACTTTTCACTAAAAAAAAAAGTTACACAAAGTCCTTTTGATTTTATGGAGGCATTATTTAAAAGAGGAGAGAGGGACAAAATGGCATGAAAGCAAAAAATCCAAATATGTTATGGCAAATTTCTCATCCAAAAAATGTTGGGATGATTAAAAATACAACAGTTTCAGTTGCGTAGTTAGTGATCCTATTGACGTCCATCTGCAGTTGCCCTGCAGTTTTTCATGTATGTTAACAGAGAGATATTCTTTGTGGAAGGAAGTTTGGTCAGTATCTCTGACTGGTAAAATAACTTAGCATCTCCTTTCTACGGTAGCTTCCAGCTGCCCTAGAGCACCAGTTAATGAGATCACATGGAAACATATTGCAAAGGACCAGGAAACATATTTTGATGCAGGACCAAAACAGTGGAAAAATGTTAACTTTGCAATCCCCTGAGGATGGTTTTGCACATTTTATATGTTTTTGTATATTTATATTAGGGAATAGGAATGCTGTATGCATATGTACCAAGAGGCTTTCTGCAACCAAAAGATAAAGATAACATAATAATTTGACTGCCATGAATACTGACTGAAATTTCTAACAGCAAAAAACCCAACAATCACTCCCAAGCCTTTTCAATAATTAGTGCCAAGTAGTACCATGTAATGGATTGAAACTATAAAATAAACTGAAGGTAGATGACCGATTGACAGAAGTTCGCAAAGAATGTGTAGGTTGCTCAACAAATTGAGAGAGAAATTCAATAAAGGCTATTGTGTATGTGTGAGCATGTGTACACATGTGTGTTCATATATGTAAAAGTAAATTCAAGAGAACCTCTGTTTTATACTACTACTGATATTACTGTTATAAAATAATATTTATTTATTCCTACTGAATTAATAATTAATTCCTATTAATTCCTACTGAATTAATTCCTATGATTTCTTTTTGAAAACTTTCTGATGTGAATATCTTCATTCGATGATTTTAATCTTACATATATTCCCATAGGCTTGTTTTTAGCAGCATAATGAGGTATAGAAAGCGGTATGAATTATATTTCTACAGACTGCAATGCTTGTAAAAATGTTTATCATATAAATGGCAATATGTTTATAACTAAGTCAATTTAAAACATTTATCATTTCAATTCATTATATTTACATAATTCATGTGGCCTCTTTAAGAGGATTCCCTTTAGAATACTGTTATTATTTATCATTTATTTTTAAATACGATAGTTTACTAATCATTGAATTTGTTTAAAAAGTCTGCAATAGGAGAACTAAATAATCCTATGCTCGTAGACTAAATCAGCATCTGAATGACAATACTAGTTCTGGTGATAATTTTGAAGATTGTCCTGCTATACCCAAGTGGTTGTTGAAGTTGAAGTTTTTCACAGATCTTTAGAAGCTGTCTCATGGGACTCACGGAAACAACCTATTGTATTTCTTGTTTTCTCTCTAAACTTCATTAACTAATAGTATCTTCCATGTGTTCTTTTGGGAAACAAATTAAAACAACAAAGAAAAACCACTCTGCCTCTTGAATTATTTCTTTAAAACAAACATAGATTCTTAAATGGGATCACTGGTAAGATGACACTGAACTCTCTACTTACAGTCTTGATCCTAGAATACCATATAGTCTTTAATTATATAAAAACCAGGAATAGAAAGCATATTATTTTTAAATAAAAAGTAAAATTATAAAAGCTATTTTAAGATTGACAAACTATCCTGCTGCAATAAAAAAAATAGTATTTTCCCAATCCAAAGATTCCCATGCTACAATTTTTTTTTATTTTCTTATCCTTCTACCCCGTCTCTCTTCTTCCTCACTCCTCCCCCTATACTTTCCACTTCTCCCTCCCTGAATGCTGGGGCAGGAGGTAACGTTGGGGTGGAGAATGCCATTGAGACAAAGGGAAAAGAAAAAAAAGAAAGTTAAATGGCTAATGATGCTACATCAGGTACCATGCAGTTGTTTCTGTACACAAAATAAAAAGACTTGGATTGGAAGCACTTTGCAAGAAGTCATTAGGGGGCCACCGGATGGGGAAGCAGTTGTTTAGTTAAATATGAAAATGCAGGACTAATTAAGTGAACTGGTGTGGTAGCAATAGACTACACTGTTAAAAACACCAAGTTCAGAATGCATTTGTGTTTCCTGTCACCAGACTGCCAGAGACCAAGGGCTTGTCTCAAGGGAAGAGAATGCTGTGTTGTTCTTAAAACATCAATATGGCTGGTTGTCAAGAGTCGCCTTTTTTCTGCTCCATGGGAATTTATCATCTTGGGTCACATCTGCACTGAGATGCAATGACAGTAGTAAGATACAGAAATTAGGACAGAAAGAAGTAGAATAAATAGTCAAGAAATATGAAGTCTAGGCATTTTTTCATTTTGTTTTTTTCAATGCATTTGCACAAAAATTACACTAAATCTTACCTCATATATGAAGTGGGAGACAGAGGCTTTGGTTTGGCCCATTGGTATGGATGTTGTGGCACCGAAAGGTACTGATCACAGAAGTTTCCTTTCCTGATATGCTGGAAGGTGGAAAATTCTTCAGGTGATAAATCAGAAGAGGGTGACATGGTCCCATGATCCTCACCAGCTGGCTCTATCTTGAGTGTCATGGAAGGAGTATGCTCTAGGGCCGTTTTCCTGGACTTTATAGGAATTCCATCATTCATATCTATTGTGCTGTCTGTGGTAAGGGCATTGATAGCAGCCACGATAGCAGAACTGGTGTACTGGTTAGTGTTTCCCAGCCAGGTCTCATCTGTCACACTAACTCGAGGGGAATTCTGGGGAGATGGTGTTGGCGAATGATGTGGTGAGTAAGATGGCTGCCTCCCATTTAGGTTATATTTTCTCTTGTTGCAAGGAGAGGATGGCCTGGAGTTACGGGTACTGAGCCAGTTTTCCTCTGTAATGCTTGTTCTTGGAGATGTAGATGGAGAATGCCTTGGAGAATTCAGCAAGTTGCAGGCCACCATACCCCGTGGAAATCCTTCCTCTGGGTCAGTGGTCTTAGGAGAGACACAAGGAGACTGCCATGGTGATGTCTGAGGAGATGTATATGGGTAAGAATAATTGGATTCATATGATGATGCTTCAGAATTACAGCTTCGGGAAGATAAGCTACTAGCCGGACTCAGGCAGGATGGATCTCTATAAGCTTCGATGTTTGGCAGATTCAAGGTAGCAGTAGAAGGAGATCGTTTAGAGTTTGGTATCGTTTCTTCAACATCAGCATCATGAAAAAACTGGTTGTTGTTATGATGAAGTCCCAAATAGGAAGTTATCTCAATCCGAGGACTTTCTAATGCTGGGGCTCCATTAGGTCTGACATTTGAAGAAAGATAATATCCTGAGGTCCCACTGTCAATACTGCCTCCATATCCAGAGGGATGATTTGTTGATGGTACAACTGAAATGACCGGATTGGTTGTCTGAAGATCATGACATGGGGTTGACAATGAGGGATGGGCCACATTGAGAGGCAAACCAGCATTGATATTTGAAGATGTGTAATTATAGTGTTCTGGAAGAAACAAAATTAAAAGAATGGCATGAGTCGTTATTCACCTGGCAGATGTGAATCCATTGACATAATGAATTCTATGAAATTATGAAGCTATTGCCATCAAAAACCACTAAGATAAGGGCACATGTAGACCAGGATTCATACCAAGGGTTTTAGGCATTTAGACTTTCTGTATTTTGAAAAGCTAAGTATCATAGCCATCATAATGACTCACAATAAATAAAAGTAATAATAAATAAATGTATAAAGCATTATACAATTCTAGAAGCACTATGTAAATATGAATTAGTATTGTCAATTGGGCAGCAATAACATTAAACTACAGATCTCTATCATCATCAAGAGCTTATAGAGCTTTCCCAATTGTATTTTTTTTTTACAATTCTTACTCCATTTTGCCTTCCCAAGGTTCCTCCCTCCCCATTCCTTGGCCCTCCTCACCATCCTGCTCCCAAAACTTGTCATAGTGGTTCTTATGATAGAAAATCATCACCTTAACCATCAAACATTTAGTCACTATGTTCTAAGGACCTGCTTCATTCCACTGCCCTCAGATATATGTCTATATAAAGCTGCTTTTCTTGCATGTCACTATCTTATTCAAAGTCCAAGGAAGCTATGCCTACAGAGCAATTATGAAGGATGACATAAGTCAAGGTGACCCAAATGGGATATAATAAAAATTACCCATAATCACAATAACATCTTATTTACTTATCCCCATATTCACTCAACAAACACTGCCTACTTCATGACCAGGTTCATGCACACAGTGCTACGCCCTGCAGGGGATTTACAGAAGCCTAGTAAGGATCTTCAGCTCTCAAGGAGCTCCTAATAATATGATCAAATCATATGAACCATTAGATTGTGAGCTCCTTGAGGGCAGGGACTGTATTTTGTCTTTCTTTGTATCCTAAAGCTTAGCATCATGCTTGGCACATAGTAAACACTTAACAAATGTTCATTGACAGACTGACACAATTGATAAAAATCCAAGAAACTTGTCAGGAGGACATGAGTTCAAAGCCAGACTCAGACCAAACACTTGATACTTACTAGCTGTGTGACCCTGGGCAAGTCATTTAACCCCAATTGCCTAAAAAAAAAATCCAAGAAACTTTCTAAACAGTTGTCAAACTTGTTTAAGTCATAGAGACATTTCTATATATTTTCTTAAATAGTGGAGCCTTTATAAAGTGAGTATATTTCTATTACATGACAGTGGAAAGGAAATGTAGTAAGCACCTACTGTATATGTTAAGCACTGTCACCACAGCCTGAGATTGTGCAGTTTCTGTCCATCCTCTGAGGGGTTCTCTATGGCATAAGATGATTTCTCTCCCCAGTCTCCAGCCTCTCCATATTAGACCCTTGCTCATAAACGAAGATTCCCCACGTCTGGTTGATCTGTCAGCTCTATACAGTCAAACCACACTCTTCTGTCTGCAGTGCCTTATTTTACCAACTTTAAGAGTCTCTGATTTCATTAGTGTGGGTACTCAAAACCTTTTTGCAACTTAGTAGATGGGCCTTCGTAACTTACTTCAGCTGAAATAATTCATCATCTAATGGCCAAATTTCTGGTGATACATCCCTTCTACATCTCAGTCAAAGAGGCCTATTTGCTTTTCCCCAAACTTCTGCCTCCACACCTTTGCACAGACTGCCCCATGCCTGAAAGGCACCCCCTCTCCTTAGCTTCCTTCAAGGCTCAGCTCAGGTATCACCTCCTACAGGAAAGCTTCCCTGATCCTCCTAGTTATCAGTGCTCTCTCCTTCCTCACTTTATCTTCTATTTAGTCATTAGTATATATGTTATATCCCTCCAGTAGAACCTAAGTTCCTTATGGAACAGTTTCTCTTGTCTTTGTTATCACCAGCACCTACCTCAGGACCTTAGTCATGCACTGCAGGTGTTTATTAAATGCTTGCTGAATTCAATTCAATTCACTTCACTTCAATCCAACTCTTAAGGCACTAGTACTCAAAGACTTTTCAGTTTGGTAGGACCTTTGAGGCTCACACTCTGGTCAAAGCCTCTAACACCCAGGGAGGGTCTTTGTTATTGTTGCTGTTGCTCAGTTGTGTCAGATTCTTCATGACCCCATTTGGGATTTTCTTGGCGGTGAATCACCATTTCCTTCTCCAGTTCATTTTACAGATGAGGAAACTGAAGCAAACAGGGGTAAGTGACTTGCCCAGGATCATATGGCTAGGAAGTGCCTGAGAACAGATTTGAACTCATGAAAAGGAGTCTTCCTAACTTTAAGCCAGGCGCTCTGTCCACTGTACTGCCTAAGTACCCTACGGTGGGAGGTCTCACCCAACTCTTAATGAGGCTTCCAAATAGGACTTAGTTAAGGACAGCACCTGAAACAAAAGATAAATGCTCTGTATTTTCCTTTTTCTACCCTGTGAGTACCTGTATTTTTAGGCCTCAGAAGAAAGAAGCAGGTTGGGAATGTTTGTCTCTGGAATGCCAATGACCACTGAATTCCAGCTTTTCCCTACAGCTTCCTGGATACCTTTAAACATTCTCCTGCTAGACAGCCAAGACTTGCAATATGGGGGAAGTTTTGCCTCCTCTGGTGTTCATTTCCAAAGGAAAGCTGGCTGCTCCTTGTCTGGACTAACTGCTTTCACTCCGTCCTGTGTAGAAATGTTTCCACCCCAAAGTACCACATGCTTCCCCCTTCATATTTTGGTATTACAGCTGGCCACTGACATCTCCCATAAAGACCTGAGAACTGCCACAATAGCAGCAGCCCTTCAAACAAGGGTGATCTCCTAGCAACGTACTAGGTTAAAAGGCCCCCAATTCCCACTCCACCTCTTCTTTCTCTTTATTATGTTGCACTGAAGTGCCCAGACTCCACTCAAGCCTCCCACTGAAATCTAGTGGGGTTTAAGGGCAGGCCTGCTGTGGTTACTTATTCTTCTCTATAACCCATCTATGTGTAGCATCCCAAGAATCCAACATAAAAACAAAGGATGAATTTTCTTTTTACACAAAAGTAACAACTTCAAAAGAACAAAAAACAATGGGCATGAGGTGTTCAGGAAACATTAAATATTGTGTTAAATATTAAAAACTGCCTATTTCCCTCCGAATTCCACCTTTGGAAGCTAAATGTATCCCATTGTTTCTGTGCTTAGCCTGAAATGGGTATCTCAAGCTGCTTAACCTAAGAAATTACCAGATGATATTTCCTTTAGGTTTTCTGTGACACAAAGCTGGCTTCACTGTGAATGATAAAGTGACAGGTTGCTAGGCTTTGCTTCCTAACATTTAAAGCCTTAGCCACTATATTAGGGACAGCTGTTAGACACTGATTACAATGTTACTCCACTCTGTATTATTTATCGATTCTTCCAGCAAGCATTTACTGAGTGCTGGTAAAAGTAACAGGTATTCTTGGTGCAGTGGATGGAGTGCTGAGCTTGGAGTCAGGAAGACTCATCTTCCGAGTTCAAATCCAGCCTCGGACACCTACTTAGCTACGTTACTCTGGGCGAGTCACTTAACCCTGTCTGCTCAAGTTCCTCATCTGTTAAATGAGCTGGAAAAGGAAACAGCAGAGCACTCCAGTATCTTTGCCAAGAAAACCCCAAATGTGGTCACAAAGAGTGGAATATTACTGAAACAACACAACGACAACTTTCTAGGCACTGAGGGTCTCAAGACAAAAATGAAACAGACCTTCCCCTTGAGAAGCTTACGTTCTGCTGGGAGGAAAGCAACACATACACAGAGAGCTAACAGTGGAAAATGCAATGTTGAATCGGAGGACCTGGGTCCTGATTCCTTTGAATTGGGCTTTTGAATTAGAGGACCTAGGATCAAATCCTGTGTCTGTTACTATCTGTGTGAATTTGGGCAAGTCATAGCCTCCCGGCCTCAGCTGCTTTATCTATAAAATGACAGGGGTTCCAAGAGTTTACTAAATACAAAGCACTGGGAATTGGTCAATTCTAGCTCTGAATCTATGATTCTAAATGCAAAGTATTTTTGATGTTGGGGGAGAGCACTCACACCTGGAAGGGGATCGGGATAGGCCTTTTAGAAAGAGGTGGCATTTAAGTCCTTAAAGAAGCTAGGGCCTCTAGGAAGTAGAGGTGAGGAAATAGTTTACTCTGGGCATAGGGCACACAACCTGCGCAAAATCATGCAGCCTGGAGATGGAATGCCACTTAAGGGGAACAGTAAATAGACCAGTTTGGCTAGAAGAGGGCATAATGGGAATAATATGCAGTAAGCCTGGAAAGACAGGTCAATCAATCAATAAACATTTGTTAAGTGCCTGCTAAGTGCCAGAGATAGAAAAAGAGGCAAAAGATAGCCCCTGCCTTCAAGGAGCTTACAATCTAATAGGAGACGCAGCATGCAAAGAAATATATGCAATGCAAGCTAGATACAGGATAAATAGAAAGTAATTAATAGAGGGAGGGCACTGGGATTAAGAGGGTTCGGGAAAGTTTCTTGTCGAATGTGGGATTTTAGTTGGAACTGAAAGGAAGCCAGCCAGGGAGGTCAGTAGTCCAGTCAGAGGAAGGAAAGGTTGGGGCCAACTTGCAAGGACTTTAAATACCCAACAGAGGGACTTTGAATTTTATCCAGAGGCAAATCCAGAAACTACCCTATTGAGTTAGGATATCAGTCCTTAGCAATACACTTAATATGCCTTGTTTAAGTAAGATGTGGAGTGATGGTAGTAAACCATTGGTATTTTCAACAGCTGGTGAGGCAAAAATGATTTGCTATTTCATAAGGGGCAGGAAATAAAGTGATGAATCTAGAACAGAAAAAGGGCAACACCCACTTACAGAACTTGGCTACTTGGCCTGACTACTGGGCCTGGTGGGGGGTGGGGGACGGCCAGGGGTGGGGTGGGGAGGGGAGGGGACTAACAAGACAAGATACAGAAGAGTGACAAGGTGTTCCTGCCCTCAAGAACATTTCAGCAGTCACTTGTGGACACAGAGGTATGTGATTA